AATGTAATCTTAAAAACCTTCTCTCCATTCCTCCAGTTATACTACACACAAACTTCTGTTTTTTACTTGGACCAAACATACGCTTCCCTAATTGTATGTTGTTATAATCTGTAAGAATTAATTGCAAGTAGATTTCACGCAAAGGTAAAATACAACCTACATTTCCCAGCCACTCGTATCCTATCGCGATCAGCATGCGTTTGTTCATTGTAGAGTGCAAGACGCGTCTGCAGTGCACGTGGATCTAACTCGGTTGCTAGATACGACGTCAATTCGGTATTCCTGTTTCGAATTATGTGGTTGATCTTACGCAATGTGGAAAAATTATCACCTTGACACCAGCGAATCGTGATCTGTGAGCCAAGAACTAGCGTCACTCGTCATCTCTAGTCGGGAACGCAGCACTTGCACCCTAGCCTCTTGTATTGTGACACCGCGGTTGTCAGTGAAGAAGTTCGAAGAAATGCCCACCTAGAAACCAGATCTAGAGACGTAAAAATTACGAGTATACATCCCTACCTTTTCGCAGATATTCTTTAGGGGAACGACCCAACCTTGGCGATTATAGGGCTTAGCAAGTTTCTTCCCTTCATCGACAAGAAACATGTCAGTGTAGCAATTTTTCCATTTATCATCGTACCTAAACAAGGAGACTAGCATGCACTATCTGCACATAAAAGAATCCAATATCTTAGAAATAGTTGATCCTTATAGCAAAAATTACCTACGACATTACTTTAAAACGTTTAAAGATTCGCTTACTGAGGCTGATACAACAGGTTCTGTACTAGCTCGGGATTTCCCCTACATTCCGCAACAAGCTGTCGCATTCTTGCATCCGAGACTGGTACTAAAGAGTAGTCACATTACATGTTGCGAACACCAAATTCAGAAGAAGGAAAGTATGTACTACCGGTTGATGAATCAGCAGCATTGCCGATATCCTGAAAACAAAGAAACTTCTTTGATGTGTAAGGTCACTCTAGCATATTTCAGTCAGAACGAAAAAACAGTTTTTCCCCCTAGAAATTCAAAGAAAGGCGAACTATGCACC